AATTCAATGTGAGCTGTATGTACAGCCACCTCCACAGACTCTGCTAAGAAGGGCATGTGTTCCGAGTCATTTACCTACACTATGCAAAAAGCTACAACAAAAGGAAGCCACTACAGCATGGGAAAAGCACTGACAAACATTGACTTGCAATTATGACAAAGGTTCTCAGCTTCCTTTTCCACAAAGCGGGACAGAGGTGATTTCCTCATGTTCTGACACGAAGAGTGAAAACCGGTAATATCTCCCACCTAGCAGCTAGATTAAAAGTATGCTTAAAATAAAAATCGAAATGAAAAATCAAAGGCTGACTTATGGGATGTAGACCAGGCTTGGTTCTACCCAAATTAAGAAATTTATTGTCTATCTTTATAAACCAGTTTCAACTTACAGGTAATGAGCTTCTGCTCAGAAAAGCCAATGGGACAGACAGTGAGATCTAATGGACTGAACATGAGCTAGAAAGCAATATTTCCAGAACTAAGTTCCAGCTCTTGCAGATCTTTCAATCTCTTACTGATTCCCAAACATTATCTTTAAACAATGAAGAGAATAATGTTAAGCTGAGATAGTGAGTAGAAAGCAGTTCATTATGCACTAGAATACACCAAAAATGCATGGAAAACCTCCTATAGCTGGCAAATTTACTGCTCTCAGATATCATCTTGTTCAGATAAACCCATGCTTCATATCTTCCAGTGTACTTCATATGCGGTAAAAAGCCCAGAACAAATGTTCTGATTACACTTGTTTATCTCCTTGTTTCAGGAGGTCCTTCCCTACTACAGGTCCTCATGCCTCCATCATCTACCCCTGATACTGTATATCTCTCCCTAGCTCTCCTTGTCTTTCCATCTGTGAAAGGCTTTCATGGGTCCCTTCATTTGTCTGCTCTCTTACATGAGGCAATGCTCCTATCTGCCCAAACTGATTCTCGCCTTCCTTTGCACACCAGATGATCTGCGGGACCGATTTCATTTGATTCCTCCTGCCACACCCCAACACAAGCTTACCCATGTGGCTGGCATGCACTCAGCTGAGTGAATGAGCAGGGAATTCCTGGTTAGCCAGTGTCCTCCCACCCCATCTCCCAGTCCCACCACAGCTATGGCCTTCCCATCTGAGGGAGGAATCATTCTGACTGTTGATACCAATCGACACAACTGAGACAAGACCCATCATTGGGATGAGTTAATTGATGTAAGTGCCTAGGCATGTTTTAATGTGTAAGTAAGGGATACAACTTTGGTGTAGTGCTGCCTGCAGTATTTTTCACACACTCTGGCATGGCTGCAGATCAAAGTTTATTAGATCAGGACCAGCAAAGTGCGACCTCAGCTCAACTGGCCTGGCCGCAGATGAAAGTTTATTAGATCACGACCAGCAAAGTGCGCCCTCAGCTCTACTGGCCTGGCCTCCTGCACACATGCAGGAGGTAAGGAGCCTTAGTGTGGTCACCAAGCTTAAAGAAGTTGGTTGGCACCTGATAGAAAGAGTTATGGAGGTGGCTGAACCTGCTGTTTCTGCTATCCAAATGACATCTAGTTTTCCCAAGACGTGAGAGAACTCCCACCATTGATCTAAGAAATTCCCTGAGCATTCTTAGGTGACTCAAGACAGCATTCAGAAAAATTCACGTTAAATACAGAGAGATGAAAGCAAGTTGCGTGTAAGCCTCCCTAGGCCATAGACACCATTCCTGGGAAAAAAAAAAAAAAGAGATATTATAATGGCTCTGTTTTAAAAAAATATAAATAGGAGGTAGAATTGTTCTTTTCTTAAACTCTTTCAGAACCTAATGTCTACAAATATTCCATATCAAGCCTAATGTCAGCAACTCATCTGCGTTTTTTTTTTCCTCACAAACTCAAAACTTTATGAGACTCACCTTCTAAACTCCTAGGATAACTTTTATGTCTTGTTTCAGCCCACAGTATGCTTGATGACATTCTGAACTCCAGGAAACAGTCCATTAAGCAAGAAACAAGAGCTGATCACTGCTAACAGCAAAAATATTTAACACTAAGATCCCAACAATGATAAAAAAGATAAAAAAAAATGATACAAAACAATATTCACTAAGATATGGTTGTCCAGTTATTTAACATCTGATCTGCTTTATAGTGCTCCAGAACTACAAGGCTCCCATTTAAAAATATTCTTCTCTTTTTCAATTACAGTTCCTATTTTGCATTTCTTGTGCTCTTCATGAACATAGGTCTTTTTTCAATTCTTCTTATTACTATTTCATTTTGCTTCACTCCTACTAGCTAGAGATCTTGGGCTGCAATACCCTTATATACTATCAGCTTGGTATTCTGTAGATTAGCTGTCGTATGAACATTACTGTGCCTCCTGCACAGACATACTGACTATAAGCAAGGGATACTGACATATTTCTTTACAGTTCAATACCTTGGGTAGAAAATTGTTTTTCTAACAAGTTAAAATTAATCATTGTTGTTATAAAAGTTGGAGTAATGCCTACTGCCCTGGTAGAAATCATTATATGTTTTGATTAGGTTATAAAACTGCCTTCATCCTATTTTTTTCTATCACTGATGCTAGCTTTACGAATCAATCGGAGTGTCTTCTTCTCAAAAAAAAAAAAAAAGGAACTAAAATTGTATTTCTATTTATTGTTACTAATCTCAGATGAGCCAATCCGTGCTGATTGAACTGAAGAGCCTATATGATCTTGATAGAAATACCCAGCAGTCCCTGATCAGCTCAGCAGGGTATGTGATAAAATGAGATGACTCCAAATAAATACATAAAAATGACACCTATAAAACCAAAATTCAAATACACAGGGGTTAAACTTTGGCTCTGTTAACTTTAGGTTTTAATCTTAACTCCCTACAGGGCATACTACTTACTGCTGTACCTAGGTCTGTTGAAATTATCCATAATCAAAACACCTAAAATAACTATTGTCACAAAGCTTTCATGGTTTAAAGATCATCTGCAGCAAATTATTAACTTGCAAGGAGTAGAAGCGGGGAGAAAATTCTTTTATTCATTACAGTTTCTGTTTCATTTTCTGTGTGACAGTATAATCTGTCTTTTTATGGTTGGTACACAAAGTCTGCTTCCAAGACTCCTGGGGCCATGATCTCTGCTATCAGAGGGAAAGCGAAGCGTATCTCTCTGTCACAGTATTAATTAGATGTCTGCAGCTATGTAACAAGATTGGGTGGGTTTAGACTCTACTTCAGGTCCACAATAATTCCATCCTATCTGGTCTTCCCATATTCCGCCCAGGATTACAACTACCTGAAAAAAATATTAACTCCAGAAGAAACTTGCTGGAAGATTTCCTCCAAATTCACAGTCCCACAGCTAGCTCTCTTCTAGAAGCTGAGCTCTTTACATCAATTCCTCCTGCATATAATTTGCAGAGAGTAATGTTGAAATTTATATTCTGCCTTTTATATTGCATGCAATGCAGATTCTCATTCATTATACTGCTGCTATTAGTTCATAAGCCAAGAGGTTTATAGGTATTTTTCCCAACAGCAAATTCCCATACTGTTCCTAGTTTGTATGCTTTTACATTTTCCCTTTGCCCATATCTTATTTTACTTTCAGGCTTATTATTCATAAATCTGTTTCAAACTGCATTGTTCTGCATAAGCTCAGCTTCTGAGTGAGTCTTAATTATTCTCCAACTGCATTTTTCTCATTATTCCCTCCAACTTTCTCCTCAGTGAAAACAGCAAATGCAAAAATTATGCTGTTCCATACCAGCATTCAGACCATTTGTATAAATAATGAGATTTTAAGGTACTGCTAAGTCTTGTGATAGCCCATTAGTAATCTCTTTCCAGAATGAAATTTACTTACAGTATAGCTACTTTATATTTCCTTTATTTTAAATCTAATGCATTACTTTGCCTCCACTTAACATGGGTCAAAGGCTGACATTTTCAAGAAGAAAATGGGTGAAAAGGCTTTTAATAAACTAACCCACACATATGGATGTCTGACTTCACTCACATCTGCACTATCGATCAAGGAACTACTTGGCTAAGATGGTGACTGCTGCCTGAAGGCACAGACAGTCCTCTACTAGTTCTTTCAAAGAGACAGCCTAAACCACCATCAATATGTCACCTTCAGGTATAATTTCATTTTCCTGTTCTCTTTCTTCCCCTTTCTTATCCTCAACACAAGACCCAGATTTATTTCTTTCATATGCTTTTTTTTTTTCCCCTAAAAGATTCCTCATTTTTCCAAGTTTGGGTAGTTTCTATTTTTCAACTGTGACAGAACAACCAGGGGTTTCAGGAGCCTTTTCCCTTTCTGTGTAACTATTTTTTAAATCCTCAATACCATAGTTGAATATCTACCTTGCTACTCTTGGCCAAAATTTCAGAACAAAATAGATTATTCACCTACTAATTCCATCCCAGTGCCACTTGGAAGATGTATGCGCACTTCACTGTTACCACTCCATGCCACAGCTAAGGAAGTAACACAATATATAGACATTAAGCTGAAATGAGGCACTGTCGGAAATCTTATGAACTCCTGTACTGTCTCCTGAATGTCATCTGTGTGGAAGAATGTGCAGAAGTTCAAGATATTTGAAGCAACCTATGATGAGGAAAAAGGCAGAATTACCAACAGAGCGGGTAACAAAGGGGAGCTCAGCCATGAACCTTGTATCACCACACAATAAATCATCAAGTCACGCCTGTGGACTCCTAATTAATTAGCCAGCCTCCCTTTGGCATAAACATTTCTGAGGAATTTCTGTGCTACATGCATATGAAAAATCTATTCTGATGAAGTAAAAACATAGAGTGCTCAATGTCTTCTCTTCTAATCAACAACAAAAACTTCTTTACCACACAAAGAATAGGTCTTTCATTTACTTTTATTAAAATGAATAAAAGAGGTTTCCTCTTTTGAAAGTAACTGCTGATGTAAATGTTGGGATGAATGAAGTTCTTGCGTATCAAATGTGCAGTTCTCAAGGCTGAGAGATCACAGTACACACCGAGGGTGGCAGTACCGAAAATCACTGTCAGTGCCAGTTCCCACAAGGTGCACAGCTGAAGTTAAACACTTGCAAAGCACAGAGTTGCATTAGTCCCACCAAAGCCAAACGAATTTGTCAGTGCTATGCGCCGCTTCTCAGTCTGCCACTCCTGAGCTGTTAATGGAACGTAATTGAGATCAAACTCTGCCTCTGTCTTCTCCAAGTTTAGAGTAGGTGGCAAAATTCCATGGTAACAGGACAGTGCAGTAAAAGCTGCTTCAATAGCTCCTGCAGCCCCCAAGAGATGTCCTGTTGCTCCTTTTGTTGAGGAAACTGCAATATTACGTGAGTGATCTTTAAAAAGTCTCTTTATTGCTTGATTCTCAGCAGCATCTCCTAGAGGTGTGGAAGTTGCATGTGCATTGACATATGTTATGTCTTCAGGTTTGATCCCAGAATCTTTTATTGCTGCAGACATACACCTAAGGAAAAAAAAAACACAAGAGAATGCTGAATCTCCTATTGTAGTTTTGTCACTAACATACATGTAGAAACCAAAAGCAGAAGTATGAGGTGTTTTAAAACAGTTATCAAATGTGAAAATCTGTATGACACACTTTGCCAGAGATGTAAATGACAAGAGATGCATTCTTCTAACTAAAACCACTAGCATCTACATTTAGCCACCTGAAGTGCTGGGGTTAAGCCCCCAGTCCTGAATGAGAGTTGGCACACGGATGATGTCCACAACCAGGACCCTCTTGATTGGTTTTTACCCAGGGTCTGGCCAGCCTTGGCTGGGAACTGATGAGGAGATCACCACCAGCTGACCCCACCTTCCACAGTAACTTGGAGGTGGGGCAAGAAGCCACCTCTATAAGAACTGACCCTGCTTGTAATGTAGTTGGGAGGCTTGGCTACATAGTGGGTGTGCTGTGTGGGGGCTCTGGTTATTGAAGGGGCTCCCCAGTTCTTCATAGCAAATGAAGCTCCCAGGATGGCCAGGCAAGATGATGAGACTCTCTCTAGGGAACTACATAACTCAATTCTTTGTCTGGCTCCTTCTTTCTCCCACGGCATGATTCTGTAGTCTGCTTGCTCCCTTCGTCACGCACTATGCTGTGAGTGAATGTATTGACTTATTCCTCCCTCCAGTGGTCTGGCATGTTGGATTACTGGTGTATGATTTAAGAATGGAGGGAGGACTTTGGTTGCTGTTTTGCCTGCTGATAATAATATCCTTCTATGTCAAGCAAGTGTTCAGCAGAAGGCCACCCAAGAAAGACGGTAGTGGTGAGGCCCACTGTAAAATCAGGCTTGCTGCTAAAAATCCCCCAATTGGGAAAAAATATGAAGAGAAAGAAAGAAGATACAACAAACAATATCTACAGACTACACTAATAAATCAGAGACCCTTTCCAATGCAAAATTTGAAAACATTTGAGAGAGAAATAACTACCTGAAATTATTTCCCAAATTTAGGTTCCTTCTGTTATTCTAGCATAGCAACACATCAAATGTAACATTCAGTAGGATGGTCCAAGAAATCCCTTCCCCAGTGTAAGTCAAGATTCCCCAGTTTTTACATTTTATTTCTCCTTGTATTTACAGTATTAGGAATAAAATTTGTTCTAGCAAACAAAAGCATTAGGAAATTAAAGAAAAATTCTCCAATCCTCCTCCTCATCAGTTTCTTTCACATGCTTTCCAGAGGTCAGAAGATGTCCTCACCCCTGTGGCGGCAAGGAGATGGCACAAATTCTTATATAGGAAATGAAATTTACTGAATGTTACACTCTCATACTCTTGACACTGCGTGTTCCATTTCAACTCCTGATGACCTCTGGACTGTGACTGCCTCTACAAGATATGCTCTCTTATGAAAACCACAGAAAGATGGGTAACAGCTCCCTACTGTGATTTTTCTCACAGATTCCCACAGAAGGAACGGGCTGAATCTCACAGCTCTCCTTGAACATACAGCTGAGCAAAGGATCACTGACTCTTTTGAAATTTATTAAAAATAAGTAAATAAAAATCTCAAAAACAAGATAGCACAGGCTGCTGGACAAATTCCAGTATCTCTAGTAGAGCCTTCTACTCTTAGAAGCATTCAGCTTAGGTTAGAGGCCACTGATACTCACTGTTACTACATAGTAAGCAAACATTGAGGCCAAGAAGATTACTGATCAAATGTTTGGGAAACAGATACATTAGTTACATGTCACCTGCAAAGAACATATTTACTTAAGGAGATAACAGATTGTGTAGAACACACTTTGCATCCACACTGCTGAGTCTGGCTTTGCCTCTCTTTTCCAGCAGGTTTATTCCAACATATGTATTAGTTTCCAACTGAATTAGTTATCAGAAGATGACAAAAATACATTCCCCTACATTTTTTTTATGTAGCAAATAAAATTCCTACAGAAAAGTAAGAGAAGCACATACATTTCAGATTTAATCCATAGACCACTGCAGTAATGAAATGCTGAAGACTATTAAAATGCATTATCTCATCTCAGGGGTGGAAAGGCTCAACGTTTTTGAGATACCAAGATTAATTTTCAACTGCTTCCCACTGTGAATTTAATTTATATGCTACTGCCATCATAAAACATATAAAAATTCTGTTAGAATATATTGTCATATCATCTCAAGGGTAGACAACTACGAAAATCTGAAACATTACTGACAACTCACACCAAAACCTGCAGAACAATTAAACTTGAGTCCAATAGCACAGAAGGAAATCTGGTATGTAACACTTCTTGAAAAATCTGTTAAACCAATAAAGAGGCAAATACAGCTTTTACAAGACCATGTGGAAGTTTTATCTATTTGTGTAGTGATATATTGAATTTTGTTATTAAATATTCATATATATTGAGAATAAAGCAAACTAAATCTTACCTAAAGATTCCCATGTCAACAATAGTATTCAGCCTACACAAAGCTCACAGAGAGCACCTATACTTATACGTGTCATTTAACTGACAATTAGGTCAATGATAAAAACTAGATTAACATCATCTACTTGTGAACTGGTTCTGATTAGATTAATGATGATGAAGCTTTACCATCTCACTAAACAGCACTGAAGTGTATTTCTCCCTCCACCAACACTCCTAGCTGCATCAGAATGAACTATTTAAACATGACTGCAGCACTGGCACAGGACCTAACACTTGCTCTATGAGCAAGCCTTTTCTAAATAAGAATAGCCACAATTGACACTAACGACATGTATGGTAATTATCTTAAGAAACCAGATCCTCCAAATGCTCTACAGCTTTCATCATTTGGGATTTCTTTAGGAATGCTATTCCCCTTTCAGACCACAACAAATGACAAGACCTGCTTTTGTAGTGAGGTCTCTCTTTGTGACAGACAGAGGGTGAAGGAGAACACGAAAAGGTTCTACTGAACCACAAAAATCTTGCAAAAGAGGTTTCCATTGAGATTTATTTGTGTGAATGGGTGTAGGCACCAAACATAAAATATTTTCCCACAAAGTTTTCATAACTCTGTGCAAAAAAAGATGATTCTAGCAAGAATTGGCCTTCACCTTGTGACTGAAAAAAAAAGCAAATTGGGGCAAAACCCTACCAGAAGCTCCTTCATTTTTCAGGTTCTTGGAATACTAATTCAAGACTTAACAGCATTTCTCTAGAAAAAGCAAACAATAACAGAAAGCCATCTACCCACTATAATTAACTTATTTAGTATCATAATCAACATGTAGCTCTTACCTGAATGCACCGTCTCCTTCTGGATTAGGTGCTGTTATGTGGCAAGCATCACCAGAAAGTCCATAACCTAAAACTTCTGCATAGACCCTAGCACCTCTCTGCATGGCATGTTCGTATTCTTCCAAGAGCAGCACAGCAGCACCTTCTCCCATTACAAACCCTTCTCTCTGTGAGTCAAATGGTCGACAGGCCATTTTAGGGCTTGAGTTAAAACTTGTGCTGAGGGCCCGAGCTCTTGCAAATCCAGCCAAGGACAAGGGACTAATGCAAGCCTCAGTCCCTCCAGCCAACATGACATCGGCATCACCAGCAGCAATAAACCTGAAGGAGTCTCCAACGGCGTGTGCGCCCGTGGTACAAGCAGTTGACACGGCATGATTCGGCCCTTTCAGCTGGTATTTAATGCTGATCTGGCCTGCTGCCATATTGACTAAAATCTTTGGGACGAAGAACGGGCTGACCTTGTTATACCCCTTTGTTCTAAATAAAGCGGCTGTATGGGAAATCTCCTCCAGCGGAACCATTCCCATCCCGATTGCCACGCCGGCCCTTAATCCATCCTGTTCCGACTGGGGAGACCAGCCGGAGTCCTTCATGGCTAGCTCTGCTGCGCCCATGGCCATCACAGTGGCAGCGCTCATGGATCTGATCTCTGACTTGGACACAAAGCTTTCTTCACTGAACTGACCCTCCTCGTTTCCCCTCGGCACGCAAGCAGCCACTCTACAGGGGATGCCTGCATATTCTGCCCCGTCTAGCGACGCGATCCCACTGTCTCCTTGGAGAAGGCGCTGCCACACAAACTGAGTCCCCACACCGAGAGGGGACACTAAGCCAATACCTGTAACAACTACTTTCCTTCGACATGCAGGCAGTGACTTGCTGAAATGTCTTCTGTGGCTTCGTAAGCACAGATTTAAATTCAGAGTCTGCAGATGAAGATTTGCAATCTTTAACAGATCCCAGGAGCACTGTGACAACATAGCGGAAATCAATCACTGTAACTGGGGGGGAAAAAAGACACAAACATAACAAAAAAGCAGCCAATGTGAAAAACGTTCCACGTACACTAAATTAACAAGGGATTGCTTTCAAGGGATGTAGTTTCTGTGTCTGTAATCAGGAACAGCATGTGTTATGGCAGAGCACAGAAACACACTCACTTTGTGAATGCCTCTAGTGAGCTCTTCTCACTTACACTGCTAACGACTGCACCACCCTGGACTGCAAGGCACTCTCTGGCTTTGATGCAAAACTCCCTCCGGGGCTTTAACCACCAGTGGGCTGGAGGTGTCAGAAAGAGCTTCATTCTTCTAAGGGAAAAAGTGTGTGTTCACCTGAAAGTGTACATCCTCATGTTATCACGTTAAGGATGGCATCATCTCAACCTTTATGTCAGGTAGAATGGTCTAGAAAACTCAGGAGTCAAGAAATACTTCCTGATTCTGCCACCACGGTAATTACATATCTTGGATTAGACACCTTGTCTTTCTACCTCCACCTACCCTTTATCAGGCTGGGAGTAGTTAGCCTGGCAGGGGACAATACCTCAAATGTGTTTGACTAAGAGGTACCACACCACCACCTCCCTTGAAGGTAACACTGCCAGACCCCATGTATCATGAGGCATGTCAAGTGATGGCAGAAGGTCGCTGCTGAGCACAAGTACTTCAGGTGCGACAAGAGGACCACACCAAGCAGTAATGCTGCAGCATTGTGCTGAAGGCTGCCTCTTGTATTGCCCCGGCCACCACCAGGTTGGAAGCTGGTCTGACCGTGCAAGTCTGGCACGCCGGAGCAGGGCAGAGGCTGCAGCCTACCTCTGTCAACTCCTGCAATACAGGCTTTGACAGGACGCCTGCTTTTCCCTTCATAAAAAGGGCAACTTGGCATCTCCAAGTCTTTGGTAAAATACAGGGAGCTGCACAGGGACCATACAGGGCCGCCGGGCTAACACATTCTTGCTGAAATACACAGACCTGCTCCTTCCTGGAGCAGCACAAACACACGGCAACATGATTAAAAAATAAAAACCAAAAAATTATGCTGACTAATGCAGACGGCTTTTTAAAGGAGACTGCTTTAAATCCTAACGCAAATTTGTCACTTTAATTTTTAAAGCCAGTTAGCCGTGGGTTTTATAAAACGGGGCAATGAATAGAATAGGAAGAGAGGAGAGGGAAAGGGAGAGGAGACAACTGCATAAGTCTCTACAGCAGTGGGTGCCCATCAGCCGCACACGGCTCTGCCGGGGTGTACCCCCCCGCCGAGGCCTTGTCCGCCCCGAGCCACACTACCTCCCGTGCGCGCCGGAGAGCGAGCGGTAAGCCCTCCCCGGGACCAAGAGCTACCGGTGTCACCAGCTGTTCGAATGGCATTAGCTATTTTCCGTGTTTGCTGCATGGGTGCATCCCCGCCTGGCACCACCTCCAGAGCCGCTCAGCTCGGCTAGG